TAATCTATATATATATATATATAGATATATTTATTTATTGTTAATTCAACTATTAAATTATAATTTTAATCTATATATATATATATATAGATATATTTATTTATTGTTAATTCAACTATTAAATTATAATTTTAATCTATATATATATATATATAGATATATTTATTTATTGTTAATTCAACTATTAAATTATAATTTTAATCTATATATATATATATATAGATATATTTATTTATTGTTAATTCAACTATTAAATTATAATTTTAATCTATATATATATATATATAGATATATTTATTTATTGTTAATTCAACTATTAAATTATAATTTTAATCTATATATATATATATATAGATATATTTATTTATTGTTAATTCAACTATTAAATTATAATTTTAATCTATATATATATATATATAGATATATTTATTTATTGTTAATTCAACTATTAAATTATAATTTTAATCTATATATATATATATATAGATATATTTATTTATTGTTAATTCAACTATTAAATTATAATTTTAATCTATATATATATATATATAGATATATTTATTTATTGTTAATTCAACTATTAAATTATAATTTTAATCTATATATATATATATATAGATATATTTATTTATTGTTAATTCAACTATTAAATTATAATTTTAATCTATATATATATATATATAGATATATTTATTTATTGTTAATTCAACTATTAAATTATAATTTTAATCTATATATATATATATATAGATATATTTATTTATTGTTAATTCAACTATTAAATTATAATTTTAATCTATATATATATATATATAGATATATTTATTTATTGTTAATTCAACTATTAAATTATAATTTTAATCTATATATATATATATATAGATATATTTATTTATTGTTAATTCAACTATTAAATTATAATTTTAATCTATATATATATATATATAGATATATTTATTTATTGTTAATTCAACTATTAAATTATAATTTTAATCTATATATATATATATATAGATATATTTATTTATTGTTAATTCAACTATTAAATTATAATTTTAATCTATATATATATATATATAGATATATTTATTTATTGTTAATTCAACTATTAAATTATAATTTTAATCTATATATATATATATATAGATATATTTATTTATTGTTAATTCAACTATTAAATTATAATTTTAATCTATATATATATATATATCAATTTTTGTTAAAATTAAATAATAATTTAAAATAGTTAAAATGTTTATATTTTAATATATTTTAAAATATTATTACATTAATTTTATTTTATAAAAATGATATATTAAATTATTTTATATTAATATAAAATTTTGTATATATGCTTTGAGAGTAAGAAATCTTCAATTTAAGGTATTTTATAATATTTGTCTGACAGAATATTTTATGAAAATTAAGATAAAGGTTATAACTTTGTTATTTTTATAAAGTTATTTTATACACAATCTCACACCTTATATTCCTCATGGTTTTTGCTTTTAGTTGTCTTCCAAAAGATTTCTCAATCATTAAAGTATGAATGTATTTTATAAGTTGATTGAAGTATGAATGTATTTTATAAATTGTTATTTTTCTTCTTATTTTATTGATGTGAAATCTTATTTGTATTTCAACAGTAATAATTTGTAAAAATTATATCAATATTGTTTGAATCATTATCTATACATACACATATATTAACAATTCTTTTTATATTTCCATTTTTAATCGGACACTTTTACTCCTGAATAAAACACTTTTTAGAACTATTCACACTCTCAATTACTAATTTATATTGTTACCTATTTTAAATTTTAATATTTTTTTTTACAACTATTTTCTTAAAAGTAAATATAAAGAGACATGAAGTCTCTTCTTTTTTTTTGTTCGTCCCTGAAGTATCTACCGCCGATAGCGGTGACTAATCTCCTCGCTACGTTGAAGGCACCTCAAAGGGTAGGATAGCTGGCCTCCTCAAAGAGTGGGATAGCTAGCCTCAAGATTTAACGCGACTGCATACACAAGGCAGGATTCGAACCCCTGACCTTGCTTAAGCGTGGATCAACCCCTATCGCTGAACCACACACTTGGGGTTGAAGTCTCTTCCCTTTACTAGTAATAATAACAAGGGTGATATAAAAGCATTTTTAGCATATAGAGAATAGGATGGTTGTTATATATAATTTTTTAAGATTCTTATTTTATTTAAATAAATTTTTTATGCCATATTATTTTTAAATAATTTGCATTACATTTTTACAAACTTTTCTTTAATAGTAGAATCTTATAAGTAATCCATATTTTTATAATTTTTTATTTATATTTCACTTTTTGACAACTTAAAAATTAATATAATTATTATAATTAAATATTAATTTAATTAAATATAATAAATAATATTTTAACATATAAGAATTAATAATAAAATTTACACAACTAATTTGATGTATGCGTATAAAAATTTAAGGGAGAGATGAAAGATTGATGCATGCATGCTTGTTTTTTATTTTATTTTATTTTATTTAATAGAGTGGTTTGGATTATCTATTGTTGATTAAAAAAAATAGAGACTGAAAAGGATTATTTTTTTTATTCATTAACAATGTTATTTATTTAATAGTCGTTGCTAAACAATCAATATATCATGTTATTACATTCTTATAAGAATTTATGATAAATATTATTGTTCAATAGTAAGATATACCACAAGCATTCTTAATCCGTGTTAAAGATACTCAAATATCAGTTCAAAAAGAGAAATCATTACTCCAATAAATCTAATGCCACGTATGTTAAAAGAGAGTTAGTACCCTCTCTATTTCCTTTTCTCTCTATTTCTTCCATTATTAAAATTTTAAAATTATGAATGTAAGTCATCCTAAAGTATGCATTAATTTCATTTATTTTATTTTATATTTTTTCAAAAAGTAAAAAAAAAATGGAAGAATGGAGAAAAAAAAATAGAGAAATCCATTTTCGTCAAAAGAACCATCTTATCATCCTTTGTCAAGAGAGGAATTGTTTTACTTTCACTATTTGTTTCGAATTCAGTACTCTTAAATATTTATAAGTAGTTTTGAGATTGCGTTCACCTAGTGTTTATATAATATATTTATGTTATTGTTAAAATAGTGTTTAATCAGTAAAATTTATGTTATATAATTATAAATTAGTTTTTAGTTATCTATTTTAAAATATTATAAGAATCATATTCATAAATAAAAAAACCAAAAAAAAATATTCAAAAGGAAAGTTTATTACTTATATTCTTATATGACTCCAATAAGATCGTCTCTCATGAAAAAATAAATGTGGTTTATCCCAAAATATTACTCTAATAATAATTTTAAAAGAGTTATTTTTCAATTCTCAATTTCTCGATTTTATATTGAGTAATGATTTATGTCTAATAAAATTGTACAATAACTTTTATAATATTATTTTTTTATTTAATTCTCTTTATCATTATTAAATATAATAAAATGAAACTATAGAGAAAAATAAATATAAAGAATAATGATGTTGTACACATTCAACCTTAAATCTTAAGCTTTAAACTCTAATCCTTAAACATGTATCATTTTGTTTTACATGTACGTATAGACATTTCTTTTTCTCAATCTAACTGTTAAGTGAATAATGAATAAAACTGAATAATAACTATTTTTAAATTTATTGTTGAAGTAATTGAAGTTTATTTTTTGGTGCTTAATTATTAGTTAATAGAAGATGTATATGTAATTGCATGTAAATATATATAAATGTATTTCACAAATCAGATGATGGTGACTGGTGAATGGTGAGTTGGTGACTGATGATGGTGATTGGTGAATGGTGACGATGACTCAGTTAAATATTCTTATAAAGAAATCCATATTAAAGGCGATGTGCATATATTAAATGTAGGAACGAATTTAATTAGGATCTAGTCTATATCATGCTCAGTATGATCAGATCTTATTCAGATTTTTATCAAAACATATTTACCAAACAAAAAAAGAACCTTTTAAACTTAACATGATTAGAAGTTTTATTGTGAAATAATCTTTTAAATAAATTATCATGAATATCGTATTAAATTTTAAATATAAATTTATATTTTATAAACATATATATACTGTTATAAAATCTAAATTACTTAATTCCAAATCCCCCTCTTAAGCCTTGAGAGTAGTATCAGTTTTAATTTTTATATATAGTTCATATAGTTTTTTTTTTTTTTTTTTTATCATTCAAAAAGATACAAAACATACTAACTTCTAACAAAAACTATTCCCATGATCAGCCAACAAAAGAGAAGAAATTTCCTTAGGACAATCATTCCCAATTGACTAATGATGCAGATACAGAAACCCCGTATCAAAGAAATTTAATATAGTTTATTTCGCAGTTATTTTCCATTCACTTAATTATTATATAGAGAGACACTTTAACATGAAGTGGTCGTTTAAGTATGTTAACAAATCAAAGACTTTAAAGAAAAATTAGCCCGAGCCTAAAAAAATATCTCTGCTATAATGCAGGTAACAAAAGGAACTTGAGTGTTAAATTAATTTCAACATTACCAACATTCTTTAGTTTGATGTTATGATAGATCTTCAAGTTTTAAGATTTAAATTTGAGTCTTGAATCCGATAAAAAAAAAGTTTTAAGAGAAATTAGGTTCAGCAAAGTCAAAAGATACTCTCACTTATAAATATAAAAAAAATTAACTTCAAAGTCTTAAGAGAAACTAATTTCGACAGTCATTTAAGGATACTCCCATTAATACCATCTTAAAAATAATGACAATTAACTTCTACTTTTTTATTAAAATTTACAACTGATCATTACAAATTATGATGTTACTCCATGAGATGTTGTGCCAATAATTTGAATGAAGAATTGTGTTGTTGGAATAATGTTACTAAACTCAAATATGATTATTTCCGGTGAAAGTTACTTGTGATCTATTAAAAAATAATTCGTTATCCACGAGTTTGTTTTTTAAATAATCTGTGCTACTATTCAGAGGCTACTTTGCTGAAAAAAAAGGAGCACATATACCAAAGCTGCAAAAATGGCTTACGTTGGGAATACAATAGGTAAGCTTATGCTACACTATGATTCGTGCTTTTTTCATGTACAAAAAGATAAATGGTTTGTGTTTTATTTTGAACGTGTGCAAATGGATGGTGAACTTATGTCAATTATGCAACTACAATCTGCAATTACTATAATATGTAACGTTTACTTGCTTTTATGCACCATTTATGTCAGCGTTCTTATTTTATATGCAAGGAGGAGATTTTGAAAGCTCCTTTTTCATGTAAATAATGTCTTCGTCTTTGATGGACAGTTTTTTTTTATTAACTTTTCAAACTTTGAACTGCTGCGTGTAAAAGTGTACGTTGATCAAACTTTGATGGTTTTTCTTTAATGGATAAGCAGATGATTTCTCATGGACATGTCTGAAGGATTTTGATTTCACTTCTTTCTGTACTCAAAGGAGCATCATAGACACTGCAAATCTACTTTTTGCATGTGTCTTCTACGCGTGTTTGATCATAAGTCTAATCAGAACCAGTTCTATCTGTGGTAATCCAAGGAAAAGCTGGATTTTCATTATTGTCTCAATCTGCTGTGCTATTATTAGCATTGCATTTTACACCATTGGCTTGTGGAATCTCATAGCTAAAACTGGAAACTCTAAGAAGCTGAGCTGGTTAGGTTTTGTCAGAGGATTCATTTGGTCTTCTTTGACAGTTTCATTGCTTGTTCAGAGACACAAATGGATCAAAATTCTGAACTGTGTCTGGTGGACATGTTCCTGTGTATTGGTTTCAGCTCTCAACATTGAAATTTTGTTCAGAGAACATGCAATAGAAATTTTTGATATTGCACAATGGCTCGTACACTTTCTTCTTCTCTTCTGTGCCTTCCAAAATCTTGGTTACTTAGTCTCTCGAAGTGTACCAGAAAGTTTATCTGAGCCACTCTTAGCTGAGGAAAATGATACTAAACAAACGGGACTAGGCCATGCTTCCTTTCTCAGCAAGTTGACTTTCTCTTGGATTAACCCTTTACTAAGTTTGGGTTACTCAAAGCCATTAGCTCTTGAAGACATTCCTTCCCTTCTTTCTGAAGATGAAGCTGACTTGGCCTACCAAAACTTTATGCATGCATGGGAATCACTTGCGAGGGAGAGGAGCAAGCACAATACCAAAAACTTGGTTCTTTGGTCTATTGTTAGAACTCACTTAAAAGAGAACATATTAATAGGTTTTTACGCATTACTCAGGACCATTGCCGTTAGCCTTTCTCCTTTAATAATCTATGCTTTTGTGAAATACTCAAATGGGAAGGATAAAGATCTTAAAGAAGGTCTTTTCATAGTGGGTTTTGTTATTGTGTCCAAAGTGGTTGATTCTGTGTTCCAGAGACATTGGTTTTTTGATTCCAGGAGGTCAGGATTGAAGATGAGATCAGCTCTGATGGTGGCAGTGTACAGAAAACAGCTAAAGCTTTCAAGCTCAGCGAGGAGAAGGCACTCAACAGGTGAAATTGTGAATTACATTGTGGTTGATGCGTATCGCATGGGAGAATTTCCATGGTGGTTTCATATGACATGGACTTCTACATTGCTACTTGTTCTATCTATTGGTGTCCTTTTTGGTGTTGTAGGTGTTGGTGCTCTTCCTGGTTTAGTTCCTCTTGTCATATGTGGACTTATGAATGTACCATTTGCCAAGATCCTACAAAATTGTATAGCGAAGTTCATGATTTCACAGGATGATCGTCTTAGATCAACTACAGAAATTCTAAACAGCATGAAAATCATTAAGTTACAATCCTGGGAGGAAAAATTCAAGAATTTGGTTGAAAATCTACGGGCTGAAGAGTTCATTTGGCTGTCTAAGGCTCAGATGATGAAAGCCTATGGGTCATTTCTATATTGGATGTCTCCTACCATAGTTTCTGCTGTTGTTTTCCTTGGTTGTGCTCTTTTCAAAAGTGCCCCGTTGAATGCTGCTACCATTTTCACAGTTTTTGCAACATTGAGGAACTTATCAGAACCTGTTAAAATGATCCCAGAGGCTCTCTCTAATATCATCCAAGTTAAGGTCTCCTTTGATCGTCTCAATGCCATTTTGCTTGATGAAGAGCTAGATAGTAGTGATGGTAACACAAGAAATATAAGCCGAAGTTCAGTTAATGCGGTGGAAATACAAGATGGCAACTTCACTTGGGATCATGAATCACTGTCCCTAATTTTAAGAGATGTGAACTTGGAAATAAAATGGGGACAGAAAATTGCAGTCTGTGGACCAGTTGGAGCTGGAAAATCATCTCTTTTGTATGCAATTCTGGGAGAGATTCCGAGGATCTCAGGAACTGTGAGTTATAACTTACAAACCAAACAATTTTAGTTTTATGTCATGCCAAATTTATGTTTATAATCTTGGAGTCTATAACACTTTTTCTAACTGAATTTTCACAATGACGGAAAACAGGTTAATGTGAACGGCACCATAGCCTATGTTTCTCAAACTTCTTGGATACAAAGTGGAACAGTTCAAGATAATATACTCTTCGGCAAGCCAATGGATAAAACAAGATACGAGAATGCCATCAAAGTTTGTGCTTTAGATAAGGATATTAATGATTTTAGCCATGGTGATCTCACAGAAATAGGTCAGAGAGGGATTAACATGAGTGGAGGACAAAAGCAAAGGATTCAACTAGCTCGTGCAGTCTACAATGATGCTGACATCTTTCTCCTCGATGACCCTTTCAGCGCAGTTGATGCTCATACTGCTGCTATTCTGTTCAATGTAAGAAGCTATGAACATGATTTTTAGATTCTTAACTTTAGTGAAACTGTTATCATGACTTCGTGAATCAAACCACTTGCATTTATTTGCTTACAGGACTGTGTAATGACAGCACTTAGAGACAAAACAGTCATTCTCGTTACTCATCAAGTTGAGTTTCTCTCAGAAGTTGATACAATCCTGGTAAAGTATCTCACTTGGATGCTTATTACATTACATTACATTAGTATATAATTAACATGAAATGTTATAACTCAAATTCTAGGTAATGGAAGGTGGAAAAGTTACCCAATCAGGTAATTATGAGAATCTCTTGACAGCTGGGACAGCCTTTGAACAACTTGTGAGTGCTCATAAAGAAACAATTTCAGAGTTGGATCAAAATAATGAAAACAAAACTCATACAGAAGAGTCTCAAGGTTTTTATCTCACTGAAACCCAAAGTGAGGGGGAGATTTCTACCGAGGGTCAACTTGGGGTACAACTTACACAAGAAGAAGAAAAAGAAATTGGTGATGTTGGATGGAAGACATTCTGGGATTATATTTCATTTTCTAGGGGTGCATTGATGCTGTGTTGGATCATATTAGCACAATCTGTTTTTATTGTTTTGCAGACTGGATCAATGTTTTGGCTTGCTCTAGCCATTGAAGTTCCAAAATTATCTAGTGCTACCTTGATTGGAGTTTACTCATTAATTTCATTTGGTGGTACTGCATTTGCATTACTAAGGTCTATCTTTGGTGCAAAACTCGGATTAAAAGCTTCTACAACCTTCTTCACAAGTTTCACTACTGCTATCTTCAATGCTCCTATGTTGTTCTTTGACTCAACCCCTGTTGGAAGGATTTTAACCCGAGTAAGATTTTATTCCCCATGAAAAAAAAATTAAACAATTTCCGTTATTTTGTTCCATACTATTTAATCATGTTCAAACTTTTGATCGTTTTATTCTCTCTCGCAGGCTTCATCAGATTTAAGTATTTTGGACTTTGATATACCTCTTGCCATCACTTTTGCAGCATCTATTCCACTTGAAATTGTGCTAGTAATTTGTATAATGGCTGCCATGACATGGCAAGTTCTCATTGTTGCTGTTCCAGCAATGGTTGCATCAAAATATTTTCAGGTTTATCCACTTTCTAATGTTTCTCGGTTTTCTATTTCTGTCCCTGCTTTGTTCATAGAGTTAACAATTTCTAAATCTCCTTTTTCCTTGAAAGGGATATTATCAAGTCTCAGCAAGGGAATTAATAAGGATCAGTGGAACCACAAAAGCTCCCGTCATGAATTTTGCATCCGAGACGTCACTTGGTGTGGTTACTGTAAGAGCATTTAACATGGCAGACAGATTTTTCAAAAATTACTTAAAGCTTGTGGACACAGACGCAACACTGTTCTTGCATTCTAATGTGGCCATGGAATGGTTAGTTTTAAGGATTGAAGCACTTCAAAATTTGACAGTCATCACTGCAACTTTGCTACTTGTTCTAGTTCCTCAGGGATACGTGTCCTCAGGTAATAATATTTCATGAAATGTTAATTACAATGTAAGGCTTTGTGCATGCTATTAAAAAGCTAATAATTTTTGGAAATTCTATTGGTTTGTGCAGGCCTTGCAGCACTGTCGCTCTCTTATGCTTTCTCCTTGACAGGAGCACAAGTATTTTGGACTCGATGGTATTGCAACTTATTGAACTATCTTATCTCTGTTGAAAGAATCAAGCAATTCATCAACATACCGGCAGAGCCTCCTGCCATTGTGGAAGACAACCGGCCTCCCTCTTCATGGCCTTCCAAAGGCAGGATTGACCTTCAAGCCTTAGAGGTAAAGTTGTATCCTATTTTTAATAGAGTAAATTATACTCGAGGTTTCGTGAAATTGCACTAACAGTAGCTATTTTTTAACGTCTACAGTAACCTCTCTAACAGGAATCATAATGTAGTATTTTTTTAATGTAATGTTTTATGAGTGTTAGTGTAATGTTCAAATAACTAAAGGAGTTATTACAGGGGAGAAAAAGTACGGAGTGTTTGAGTAATCTCACGAAATCTCAATGGGGGTTTATGTAATTTATTCTTTTTCTTTATTTTATTACTGTCAATTGGATAGACCAATTTGTCTAATGGCCGTTATTTTCTACATTGTTTTCAGATTAGATATCGTCCTAATGCTCCGTTAGTGCTTAAGGGTATCACTTGTACGTTTAAGGAAGGGAGTAGAGTGGGAGTTGTAGGAAGAACTGGAAGTGGAAAAAGTACACTTATAAGTGCTTTGTTTCGCTTGGTTGAGCCTGCAAGTGGTGATATTGTTATAGATGGGATTAACATATGCTCAATGGGGTTGAAGGATTTGAGAATGAAACTAAGCATCATCCCTCAAGAACCAACTCTTTTCAAGGGCAGCATTAGAACCAACTTGGATCCCCTAGGCTTGTACTCAGATGATGATATATGGAAGGTAAATGAACTAGCTCCTCAGTTGAAAAATATGTTACATAAAATACCTCTATCTTCTGCATGAGCTTATCAATAAACACAGGTTTGATTATGTTCAATTTGTACATAGGCTTTAGAGAAATGTCAGCTTAAGGAAATAATCAGCAGTCTACCACATCTCTTGGACTCTTCTGGTGAGTATAAACATCACATAATCTGATATGAGTATCATCAACCCAATTCTCTCATTAGCCTTTGGTAACAATCTATTGTATCATTAGTCTTTTAAGAGGTTTAACATTTAGGGGGAATAAAAAATCATATCTGATCTTCGTTCTGTACTTCTAAAGTACTCAATTTCCAAATTAAGAATTTGGAACAAATAGCTATTGAAGTCTAATTCTGACTTGTTATACAGTAAGTGATGAAGGAGGGAATTGGAGCTTGGGACAGCGCCAACTGTTTTGCCTTGGAAGAGTATTACTTAAGAGGAACAGAATTCTTGTTCTGGATGAAGCTACTGCTTCCATTGACTCTGCCACGGATGTAATTCTACAACGAATAATTAGACAGGAATTTGCGGAATGCACAGTGATAACCGTGGCTCACAGGGTTCCAACTGTAATAGATAGTGACATGGTCATGGTCCTGTCCTATGGTATGCTCATGACTTGTTCTTTTTATTTTATTTTTCTCCTTTTGGGATATACTAGCTCTCTTCTCTAATTCACTCAGTTAATTACCTTTTTTTTTTTTTTTGTGGTTACAAAAGGGAAACTGGTGGAATATGATGAACCTTCAAAGCTAATGGAGACCAACTCTTCATTCTCTAAGCTGGTTGCTGAATATTGGTCCAGCTGCAGGAAGACTACTCAAATACCAGACAGCAACATTGAATAATAACACTTTGAAAAAGGGAGATATAATAATTTGAAGGAAAACTGAACAAGTTGAAATTTAAAAGGGTGTGGATACTCATTAAGTCGGCCTTCCGCATTGTATCTTTATTTTATTCATTAGGATAATTGTAAGTTATTGTTGGGATACAAACAAGTCCCACATCGATAAAATAAGAGAAAAAATAACAATTTATAAAGTACACACATTATCTAATGCCAGAGAGGCCTTTTAGGTGATGACTAAAAGCAAAATTGTGAGGATATAGGCACAAAACGGACAATATCTCATTATTGTGAAGTTGTGTCTGACAAATACAATATGTTTTATTTTAGGTGATAACTAAAAGCAAAATTGTGAGGATTTAGGCACAAAACGGACAATATCTCATTATTGTGAAGTTGTGTCTGACAAATACAATATGTTTTATTTTATCAATTAGGATAATTGTTAGGAATATCTTTGTAGCCTTTTTAAAGGGCAAACCTGATTGAAATTGTTATGAATGGAAAATATCTTTCAGAAAAATTTGGGTTAATTTAGAAGTGTCAAGGACGAATCTACTTCTTGTTTTCACTATCTATTTAATCACTAGCATTTTCAAATCAAGGACTAGATGCCATTAAAAGACTAGAAGAGAAGAATGTTAAGGTGGAAAAAGAAATTACATAATTGATGACATGAACCATAGTAGAGTTGGTTGTTGTTATTGCCGAGTTATAGCATGAATCTCTTCGACCTAAGGTGCATATATGAATAAGGAATAAATGTGTTGTTAGTCAGGGATTGTTATTATTATTAATTATGAAAGAATCAGCCAAATAATTGTATATAATTAGAATTCCTATTTTAGTTTGTTCAAGTTAGGAATTACAGTAATTAGCCTTTAAGAGCTATTGAGAATGTACTATTTATAAAAGGGAATATGAAAGAAACACAAAGTCATGATTTCTTGACATGTGTAAGTGTTCTGTTTTGAAACTTACCCTTTTCCTTGTAATAAACATCATTCTCATAATTTTTAGTTCTCATTGATCTCAATCTTTAACCAAATTTATCTCTCCACTCTGTACACGAGCATCTAGTGCCTCGTTGTTATGAGTATTTTTCCACTAAAAAAAGTTTCTATAAAATGTTTTAATGAACTTTTTTTTTAAGAAGTGGGTTAAGAGTCTAATTTAATATTATAAAATTAACTTGTAAGATGAAGATTATCTCCCACTTATATACACTAATTTGGTCATATCACTAGATATTATCTTAAGAAAGTAGTTTGAAGTTTAACTTAATCTTATAAAATCAACTTGTAAGGTGAATATTATTTCCTATGTAGATACACAAATTTAATTATACCACTAATCAATGCGATATCTTCAACACCCTCTCACGCCAAGGATTGAACACCTCAGGCATGAAATTTGCAGGACTGGACATGTGCAAGTAATCCAATAACGGATAATCTGATAAGTCCACTAACAATTGTTAGGATAGGCTTTGATATCACCAAACTTATAAGATGAAGATTGTTTCTCGCTTATATGCATTAATTTGATCATATCACTAATCGATGTAAGATCTTTAACACTTTTTTGTATGGTTCTATATTCTTTTAGATAAGGTTTTGTAATTTATTTGGATATTAATGCATTCATATTCATGTATTAGCCACTAACAAGTGTGTACTTTAATATATTTATGCATGTTATTGTATATATTTTTAAGATTCATACCTTTTTTTATCATACTCTAAAAAAATGTTATTATATATTAGTAGGAAAAACAAGCACTTTGTCTCTCTAAAAATTACATTACTCCTTATGTGCAATGATGGTGAGCACTAAGATCATTCGAGATATTATCTATTTTGTTACTAGTTAGGCCTTCGTGGTTGTGTCTTTGAAAAGACACTTTGGTGAGTTAAAGGAAAAGTGTATTTACTCTTATGTAATTTAGAACTTTTTAGACCTATAAGAACAAGTTCTCTATGGAAGCCAAGAGATAAGAGTGTTTTAGGTCCTTCTTATAGCATCAATGTTTTGATTTCAAGTTTAGTGACATTGTTAAAGTTGTCGCATTTGAGATATTAGCGCATGTCCTCAAGGGAAAAATCACCCTTCCTAGGCGAGCCACCGACATGGCCTTTCAAAGGCGAGCCTTCGAATATTATATTAAACATTGTAGGAATACACAAAACGCAATTGAAAGCTGATACAAATTCTGCTCATAAACATAAAACTAAATGACAAATGTAAATACTTATAAAATTGTAACAATACTTATAATTCCTATAATTAAAATTCATAACCGTATAAATTTTAATAATGTTACATTAATATGAAATAAACTCAAATAATAGATGTTGATTCAGATTCTCAACACTCTTCCTTGTATCAGTAGCTATTGACTCCAAGTTTCCCTCTCAAGTTCTCAAACTTTCCTTTTGGAAGTGCCTTTGTGAAAATGTCTGCCAATTGATCTTTTGTCTTGCAATATACTAACACAACAATATCTTTTTTCTGAAAATCTCTAACAGAATACAGCTTAACATTGAAGTGTTTAGTCTTATCATGAAAGACTGAATTTTTAGAAATTGCAATTGCTGCTTGATTGTCTACAAACACCTTAGTTGGATTTGTTTGAACCACTGGTAGATCATCTAGAATTTTCCTCAACCATAAAGCTTGATTAACAACTTCAGCAGCAGCTATGAGCTCTGCTTCTACAGTTGACTGTGCCATATTGTCTTCTTGCTTTCTTGAGGCCCATGAAAACATTCCTAAACCTAATGTAAAACAATAACTAGAAGTGCTTTTCATATCATCCAATGGACCTCCCCAATCGTTATCAGAGAATCCATGGAAATTAAATTCTTGATCATATTTGAACCTTACTCCATAGTCAAGAGTACCTTTAACATATCTTAACACACGTTTAGCAACTTGAAGATGTACTTCACTTGCATGATGCATGAATCTAGAGAAAAGACTTACAGCTTGCAAAATATCAGGTCTTGTTGTTGTAAGATAAATTAAGCACCCAATAAGACTTCTAAAATTAGTCTTATTAACCTTTTTTGCACCATCCTCTTTGCAAAGCTTCAACCTTTGAAACATTGGAGTACTTATAGGCTTAGAGTTTTCCATTTGAAACTTCTTCAGAATTTCTTTTACTTATTTCTTTTTACTGATAAAAACTTATTTATGGTCTTGTTTGACTTCTAGGCTAAGAAAGAAAGTCATTTTTCCACAATCAGTCATCTAAAAAGCTTTCATCATATCTTGCTTGAACTCTTCAACAAACGCAATACTGCTTCCTGTCACTAAAAGGTCATCCACATACAAAGAAACAATTAAAATTTTAGAATTCAAGCATTTCACATAGAGAGTTGACTCACTAAGACCTGAGACTTTTTGTGAAGCCAATACTCAGCAAGTACTCATCAATTCTGCTATACTTGGCCCTTGGAGCTTGCTTCAAACCATACAAAGTCTTCTTTAGCAAATAGACCTTGTCTTCTTGTCCTTTAACCACAAAGCCTTCAGATTGCTCAACATATATCTCATTTTCTAAATAACCAGATTTTACATCTAGTTGAAACACATTCCAACCATTTTGTGCTGCAAAAGCTAGAACCAATTTGATGGTATCAAGTCAGGCAATGAGAGCAAATGTTTCAAAAAAATCAACTCCATATTTTTTAGCATATCCCTTCACTACAAGCCTGGCCTAGTGCTTATTAATGGAACCATCTACATTGAGTTTGGTTCTAAACACCCATTTAACACCAACAACATTTTGATGTTGAGGTCTAGAAACCAATTCCCAAGTTTGGTTCTTTTCAATCATGCAAAACTCCTCCTACATTACAACAATCCACTTTGGCTCCTTTTCTGCTTCAAAAAATCTACAGGTTCTAATATAGCAGCATTACATCTTTCATAAATATCATAAAGTAATCTGGTTCCTCTAACTGGTGGATCATCAAAAATTTCATCTTTTTCTTCTATAAAAGAAAAATTAGGAACCTACTTCCAATCATCTTTCTCCCACTCCATTGTTTATCTTCAACAAAAGGGACATCTTTGCTTATGAGAATCTTACCAGTTTGTGGTTGATAGACTCTATAAGCTTTTGAAGGTGTGCTATAGCCAATGAAAATTCCTACTTTTGCCCTTTCGTCTAGCTTATCTCTTTTCACCTTTGGCACATAAGTAAAACAAATACAACAAAAAGCTTTGAAGTTTTGAACAAAAGTTTTATAGTCATACCATGCTTCATAAGGAGTTTTTCCTGGCACAACTTTTGTAGGAAGCCTATGTAATAGAAACACAATCGTATTTGCAACTTCAGCCCAAAACTTCTTTGGAAGTCCTTTCTCATGCACCATGCTTCTAGCCATCTCCATTATCTTTCTATTCTTCCTCTTACTCACTCCATTTTGTTGCAGAGTGTAAGGAGTAGTAAGTTGGTGCTCAATCCCAGTTTCTTCACAAAAAGAATTAAATTAATCTAAAATATAATTTTTTCCATTATTAGACCGTAGAACCTGAATTTTATAGCTAGATTGATTTTCAATCCAAGCCTTAAACCTCCAAAAAATTCCTACAACTTCAAATTTAAATTTTAAGAAATAAATCCAACACATTCTTGTCAAATCACCAATAAAGAAAATGTAATATTTACTTCTATTTAGAGATAACTCAGGTAGAGGTCCTCCAAGGTTTGTGTGAATCAATTGTAGTTTCTATGATGCTCTCCAACTAATTTGTGGAAATGGTAGCCTGTACTGTTTCCCATATTGGCATGCATTACAATTATTTAAGTCAGCTTCCAATGATGGCAAGCCTTCCACAATATTGTGTTTCTTCATGTTCAGTGCAACATGGTTAAAATGACCCATTCTCTTGTGTCAAAGCTCAGTGACATTAATCGTACTTGAAACAACAGCTTGCACCTCCTCCATTAAATTTAAAGAGAAGTTTTATCCCTTCATTTTGACCTTGAACAAATCATGTCCACTTGCATCTTTGATCAAACACATTTTGTCTTCAAACAAAATTTTGTAGCCTTTTTCAAGTAACTGTCCAACACTTAACAAGTTTTGATTAATTTTAGGTACATAAAGTACATCAGTGATTATTTTTGTACCTGAACAACTTTCAATTGCAATAGTATCTTTCCCTTTCACAGCTATACACTCTCCATTGCCAATTCTGACTTTTGAAACAATTGTTCTATCCAGCTCCTTGAACAATTCTTCATCATAGGTCATATGATGCGTGCATCCACTATCAATCAACCAACTCTCACAATTGTTATTGGTGGCAAAACAAGTTGCTGCAAATAACTGATCCTCCTCCTTTTGTTGGTCAGCCACTTTAGCCTTTGTTTGAGATTGCCTTTTATTATTGCAAAATTTTGCAATATGACCAAGCTAGTTGCATTTGTTACAGCGTACATTGGGTCTTCTCCAACATCTGAAGTGGGGATGGTTTCTCTTTCCACAATGCTGACAAGGAGGATGATTTGATTTCCCAT